CCCATCCAGGAGAAGGTGAGAATGGGTTCCACCCTCACAGGACCCCAGCAGACTACAGGTCAGATTCATGGGGCAGCCAGACTACAGAAGTCCCAGAATAGAGATGGGTAGTTGTCTGTCAGAATCAGGAAGGGGAGAGAGCGATGCATCTTGGCTCCAATTTAGTAGGAACCCAAGGTGGTCCTCATAGTGACCAGTGTCTCAGGATATGAGATGGTTCCAGGTCCTGGCCATCCTGCAATGACCCAGGCCCCCAGAATCAGGAGCAGGTACTGTCCAGTTCTTCTGGACAAGCACCAAGGTCCCCTCATCTCAGCTCCCCTGAGTCCTTACCATTCTTGTCACATGCTAATTAGGTGTGTCTCACAGTTACATGTTACATCTAGCCCTCTCTCCACTTGGAACATGTAGGTCTCTGTGTCACTCTTCCTGGTATCTCTGATCCTTAGGGCATAGTTGTGGGTCTCAGGGTCCTAAGTGTGTTAGGCCAGGTAGACCAGAGAAACAAATCCAGAGACACTTGTGTGTATAAGAAAGAGCTTTATATTAAGATGGAATCATGCATCAGGAAAACGTCTCAGCCCAGTCCAACTCCAGTCCATACGTCCAGTAGTACTCCGTAAGTCCCTCCTCAGACTCACAGACACACGCAATGATGCAGAATGCAGGAAGATCACAGGCCAGAGGGTGGAAAGTCTTGTGGCTCCAGTGGCAGTTGGAAGCATCTCAGCACTGGCATGGATCTCCACATGGCTCTTCCAGCTCCAGGGCTCTGGCTGTCAACAGGAATGTCTAACAGAGGGAGTGTGTCCTGCCTCCAGAGAGGAAGACCAGAGTTCGCAGAATCCTCAGGAGAAGGCCACGCCCACACTGAGGCCTCATTGGCTATGACCTGATTGACAGGCTAGACTCCATCCCCTCACTCAAGTTCACAGGAGATGACGTAGCTGCCACAGGTACTGCCCCTGTTTTGAGGCGATGGACTGGACAGCAACGGATAGTATGCTTTTCTTTGTTACCTTCCACCAATAAAAGAGGAAAAGGGAATAAAGTGCAATTTAGAAAGAAAAGTGAGACAGAGGGAGAAGGGTCACAGCCTTACACCCTCCAGATTCTTTACCTAGGACAGTAGTTCTCAGCCTGTGTGTCGTGACCCCTTTGGGGGGCAAATGACCTTTTCACAGGGGTCACGCACTTCATCACAGGAGCAAAATTGCAGTGATGAAGTAGCAACGAAAATAATTTTATGGTTGGGGGTCACCACCACATGAGGAACTCTATTAAAGGGTCATGGCGTTAGGAAGGTTGAGAGCCACTGACCTAGGAGATCTAAACATTGGCTTGAGTGGTTACAAAAGGAGGAATAGTCAAACCAACACTGATTTTTGAGGGGGTACCCCCCCCCCCCCAAATCATCATCTGTTTGGCTGGCTGACAGCACCTCCCTCCTTTTTTCTTCACCTCTTCTATGTGGTCAAATTGCTGTCCTTTCATGTCCCTCTTTATTCGAGGAAACAAAAAGAAGTTGTACAGAGTGAGGTCAGGTGAGTAAGGTGCATGGGGCGAGAGAAGCCTGTTGTTTTTTGGCTCAAAACTGGCGCACTGAGCTGGCTGCATGAGCAGGGGCATTGTGACAAAACCAGTCCCCCGTCTGTCATAAATCAGGTCTCTTTTTCGGTCACACACTGTTATGCAATGTTCTCAGAACCTGTACACGGAAAGCTTGATGAACAGTCTGACCTGGTGGAAGGAACTCCAAGTGCACTATCCCCCTCACATCCCCCAAACAAAACAAATGAACATCTGTTTTTTGGGGGGTACTCTCGTATATTCCTTTGTGACACACAGGCTAGTGTCCATCAAGAACAACAATGACCTCTGTCTGTTTTTCTTTTCGTCCTCAGGTAGGGTCTTTGTTTTTCTCTAAACTGTACACCTTCTGCCCCCCTGCCCTCATCTCCCACACACACACACATCAATGGGGAGGCTTGCGGTGCTCTGAGTGGCTTACGTCATTCAGCGTTCAAGTCTGAGTCTCCAGCCTGGCATTTCGAACCCACCCCAAGGCTCCTTGGAAGGAAGTGCCGTTGATCCTTCCAGAAGGTCACAGCTGGAAGCCACTGATTGAACCAGTGGCTTTGGTTGGTTGGTTGAGTTGCTTTGTGGAGTTTTTACTCTTCTAGGAGCTTTACTTGACATCAAGAGCCCCGACTCTCTGCCTCGTGTAGAACGGAAATCTCCAAGTGTGTAGAATTGCAGCTTGGCCCCACTCTCCCCAGCCCACCCACCCCCTCACCCTTTGAATGTTCTGTCAATGGTATTTGCTGTTTGGAGCGTTCTAAGACTGGTGACTGGTCGCACCTTGTGGTGGTGGCTCTGTCTGTGGTAACCTGTCCTTTCAGGTCTTAAAGCCTTTAAGATTGACCGAGTGCCCACCCCCTCACCACGACCCCTTGATTATAACAAGAATATCATTTCGGGTTGCTTTGCTTGCTTTCTGCCCTAAAAATTTTTTTTTTTTAATATAATTTTATTGGGGACTCTTACAGCTCTTATAACATCCCATGCATCAGTTGTATCAAGAACATTTGTACCTACGTTGCCATCATCATTTTCTAAACATTTGCTTTCTATTTGAGCCCTTGAAGCCAGCTCTTCTCCACCCCCACCCCTGTCTTTTAAAATTCTTTAAGTGAATGTAGTCACTAAGCCAGGTCGGGGCGGGAGGACCATTGTCACTGAGTGGGATCTGACTCCAGGAGACCTCAACCTGTGCAGAGTAGAGTTACTCCATAGGGCTTCTCAAGGCTGTGGTCTGTAGTAAGCAGATTGCCAGGCCTGCTTTCCAATCCACCTCTCTATGCAGGTTCACACTGCCAACCGTGGGACACTGAGGAACGGGAAGAGAGTGTATGTGGGGGAATTCTTTATTCCCACATTTTAAGAAGCCTGGCAGTCCAGAATTCTGTGGTGGAGGGAGGCTTTCCCACCTGTGAGTTAGAGAGAAGTCCCAATCATACTCTCATATCTAAAAGGAATCCCCACAATGCCCTCCCATCATAGTGCTGCCTTAAAGTTACCCCTTAGAAGTACATGACTGATGGTGATGACCAGACATGTGTTATTGCTCTCACGGCTCAGGGGACGGTCACTCCCCCTTACCTGTCCCCAGCACTGGTGTTAGGTGACTCCTCCAATAAACTCAGGGCACTTGAGGGTTAAGGCTGCAGCTCACTTTATTATCTATGTGGTTACCTGTAACTAAGGGGGCTTGCATGCCCAGCGAGTATATATAAGCTGATGTTCGGAAGACTGTATCTCTCTGTGTGCGTGGACCTGGCTCCTGAAATCATGGCAGAGGTGAGACCTTGAGTGTTTTGTCTGGTCTGATGTCTCTTTAATTGACTCTTCAATGACACAACCGCCGCTCTGGGACCCATTCGGTTGTGGGGGCTGGCACTACACAGGCCATGCTTATGGCCAGTAGTAAATCAAGTGCTTAGTGGTTTGTGTCCCTCCAGGCCTCTATGTAGCAACCAGAGTCCAACCTTTTCTTCTTTTATATATATTTAAGCCATTGATAGGCGAGGTAGTTTATTGTGCCAACCTGGTTGATAAACACATGTGGGATTAATTGAAGGGCGGAGAGATAAATGGCTCGGTGAGTCTTGCCATTTTTGTCTCTTGCTCTTTGATCATCGGACCAGTGTGCAGCTGCCTTGCTTGTTCTGTGTCACCATTTGAAAGCTACACTACCTGTGGGACACGTAACCCGTGGACTGTGTCGCTGTAATTTGAGGTTCCTTCAAGACCTGCTTCGCCACACCATTGGAATTTACATCTCTTGAGCTGGGGACTGTCGGACCCTGTCATCTGGCTGACTGTTGGTGACCTGCCTTGCTATTTGCTGCCTGTGCCCCCATAGCCTGACTTGCTCTACAGTGGACTACCCGGCAGCCCTCAAGACTTGAAGGACTGCCATTGTCTCACACTGTCTCATGGGAGTGAGTTGCACTGAGCTATTTGTACTGCTTTATAATTTAATTAGCTGTTAATTTCTTATGTTATACATCTATCTATCTGTATAAATATATATAAAATTATTAACATTCTGGTTTTGTTTCTCTAGAGAACCCTGTCTAACACAATAGGCCTCGTGTTGGTTGCATAACTTCATGTCAACTTGGGATATAAAAGTGTGGGGGTACAGTCTAGCCTGTCAATCAGATCACAGCCTGATGGTACCTCCTTGTGGGCATGGTCTTCTTGTAAGGAGGGCACTGGGAACCTCCCCTCTCTCTCCCTGCCTTTACTTTTCTTCCGGCGAGCCACTCTGAAACCTGACAGAGCCCTGGGATGTGTCCACCGCCATGGGATCCGCAGGTCTTTGCACCCACCGGCCTCTGATCTCTCTGCATAATGCACCATTGCATGTGGCTGCGTGAGTCTGCAGAGGGATTTATGGACTCGTATTGGACTGGTGGACTTGGTTGGGACTGATCTGAGATGTTTACTTGATATATAATGACTTCTGGATATAAATCCAGTCTGAGTTTACTGGATTTGTTTCTGTACTCAAATCAGCCTAACACCCGCCCTATTCAGGGAGCCCTGGTGACGCTGTGAGTTAAGCATGGGGCTGTCGATTTCAAGATCAAAGATTCAAACCCAGCAGCCACAAGGCAGGACAGCGATGGAGTCATCTGCCCCTATAAAGATCAGCGGTCTCAGCAATCCTCCTGGGGTCGCTGTGCATCAGAATGGACGCCATGGCCCTGGATTTGGGTGGGGCTCAGTGCCTCATTTGTAACGGACCCCTAGTGGTGCAGCTGTTACAGGCCCGGCTACTCACCGAAAAGGCCAGGGAGAATGACAGGGCAGTGTGTTTCTGCAAAGATGTCCACTTCGGGCTGCCACTTGTGAGGTCAGCAGTTCAAAACCACCAGGCTGTCCTTGGGAGAAAGACGAAGTTTTTGACTCCAGGAAAGAGTTACAGTCGGACCCTCCCATTCCCTTTCCTCGGATCAAAGCACTGCTCTGGGTGGTTGTAAAAGGAGGAAAAGAAACATCGACGCTGCCCCTCAGTGATCTTGGGGCTCGGGCTAGTTTCAAACAGGGTTAAAAAACCCCAATAGAGTTAGAGTTTGGGAGACCCCAAAGGGCAGTGTCCTATAGAGTCACTCTGTGTCAGAATGAAGTAGAGGGCATCGAGTTACTCATGATTTTCATTCAGCTCTCTCTCTATACATATATACACACACCATCTGGGCGAGGGTCTTCCTCTTGGTCGTCGCCCCTCGACTTTACCAAGCGTGGTGTCCTTCTCCAGGGTCTGGTTTCTCCCGACAGCAGGTCCAGAGCATACGAGACGGAGTTTCCCCATCGTTGCTTCTCAGGAGCCTGCTTTGTGCGCTCTGGGCGGCCCATGGGAAGTGCCTTCCACGTTCCTTCCAGCCCTGAACTCAGATGTAGTGATTCTTCTCCAGTCGTCCTTGTTCCACGTCCAACTCTCACGGGATTGATGACACCACGGCATTGGGGACTTTATGTCCAAAGTCACATCCGTGCTTTGCAACATTGTAAAGAGGTCTCGTGCATCAGATTGACCCATAGAAATAGGTCATGTGGTAGCTCAACTCCTGCTTCCTAGGGCATCGATTGTGGGTAGTAGGTTGGTGCCCATCAAACCAGGGGGCAAGTGCACCGACCAGCTGTCCCCAAGTAGCTCTGATTGTGTCAGACTGTGAACTGTGCCCCATAAGGGGTTGCAACGCCCATCTGGCGGAAGTACCTACTCAGGCCTGACCGCTGTGGGGACGCGGGTCACCTTGGACCCCTGACCTCTTCGTTGGTGGCTGAATGTGGTCTGGGTGGGAGCAGAGGGCACGTGGCCAGTGTGGAAGGAAGTGTGAAGTCTCTTGTCAGCCCCGCATGATCTCTGTCACGTGGGAATCCCAGATCTGATTTTTTTCTGAGGGAAGCTGATCTGGTACATTCTGCTGAGAGTTCTTAGCAGTTAAATATTGGGGACAAATGAAAGTATCTAGAGTCACGTTTACCCCAGCCAAAAAAAAAAAAATACAGGTTGAAAAATAAAGGCAAAAAAATTGAGGAAAAAAAAAGCATGGGTGAAGGGAGACCGCCGTTGGGGTCAGATATGAAAAGAAGGATAATTCTTGTTTATCAAGGGATCACGACGGTGGGAGGGCGAGGGAGAGAGTGACCAAAGAGGAGTTGATACCAAGGGCTCAAATAGAAAGTACATGTTTAGAAAATGACGAGGGCAACATATGGAAAAATAGGCTGGTACAGTGGAGGTATGCAATGTTATAAGAGATGTAAGAGCAATGAAATGGTTTTAAAAAGTCCACACAAAAAAGACAAAAAATTCCTTTCATTAAAATAATAATAAAGCAAACAACCCCACTAGCCACTGAGTGGGTTCCCACTCATGACGACGCTGTGGGACAGAGTGGAGCTTCCCCTCAGTTTCCCGCAGACTGGCTGCAGAAAGTCCCCTCTTTCTCCCTGAGAACTGGTGAATTTGAACCACTGACCCTCCTGTTAGAAGTCCGAGGCTCAGCCCACAGCACCACGAGGCTTCTGCACCTCAAGAGCCAAGTCACAGCAAGCTAGATCGTGGGTCGTTACCTCCGTGGGAGAAAGAGGCGTCTCTCTGCTCCCACAGAGACTGACAGCCTGAGAAGCCCCGGGGAGCAGTTTCCAGCCTGGTCTGCAGGGTCCCCGAGAGTCAGAATTGGCTCTCTGGTGTTGGGAGGGGTGCACTCACCCCGCGCTTCCTTCCAACATGGAATCAAAGCGAACTTCATCCGACCCGGCACCCACCCCTCCCAGATTGGACCCTGCACACTGTCCTTGACTTTCTTCTTGTCTCTTGGGATCGTAACATCGATTCAGACAGAGGGGTGACTGTGTTCCAAGCGCCTGCTCTTCAAATGTCCTTGTGCCCACACTGTCTTCCACGAGGTTGACTTCTCCCAACCCTGGTGCAGCTCTTGGCTGCTGACCGGAAAGTGGCTTGGAACCCACGTGCCTCTGCTAGAGAAGGGACAGTCAGCTTCCTCCAGGGGAGGGGACCCAACCAAGGTCAGGGATCCACAGCCCACGCGCTCCCTCTGCTGGACGCGTCGCAAGCAGCATTTTGGAGATGCTACCACTTCGCAGATGTGCAGAGGGTTTGCACGTGGGCTGAAGTTCGAAACCACCAGTTGCTGCTCAGGAGAGAGATGAGGTTCTCTACTCCCGTAAAGAGTTCAAAACCACGCGGCGGGACGCGGAGAAAGGGGGGATTGCTAGCAATGATGGATGTATAACTCCCTGCCCGAGGGGGATGAATAACAGAAATGTGGTGGAGGGATACAGCAGAGGTTGTAAGATAGGAAATATAGACATATATTATACATTAGATATACAATTTACTAAGGGTTCACGAGGGTGGGAGAGAGGAGGGAGGGAAAAAAGAGTAGTTGATATCAAAGGGTTCAAGTAGAAAGATAATCTTTTGAACATGGTGATGGCAATGTATGTACAAGTTCGCTGGAAGGAATTGATTTATGAACGTTTTAATATCTTTTAGAGCCCCCAATCAATGATTCAAAAAAAGAATTCAAAACCCAAACTCACGGCCCCCATCCAGTGGATTCAGACACCTAGTGAGCTTCTAGGACCGAGTAGGACTGTTGGTTCCTGGGGTGTGTGCTCCTGGCAGCAACTGGAGATATCGAACTGTTGACCTTGTGGTTAGCAGCCCACAGTGACCGTCTCAGAATCCCACAGGAACAATTCGATCCTGTCCTATAGGGTGGTTAAGCGCTCGAATGGACTTGTTGGCAGCGAGTTGAAATGCCCACCTCTTCTAACTAGAAGTGTCCAAATGGTTTTTAACTTTCAGCCTTGCAAACCCGATTGGTCCCTGTACCCAGTCTCATAGGGTCACTAGGAGTCAGAATCAAGTGGACGCCAATGGGTTTGGTTGTGGGTAGAGCACTAACCCACAGTAGCCGAGTCGATTTTGACCCGTGGCAACCCTGTGCGTCACCGTCGAGCAGAATTGACTGCTAACGTTAGCATGTTCTTGAACTTTCCAAGCAGGTGGTCAGGCACTTTTAAAATCGTAAGGTGTCAGCATGAGATGGATCCCTTAAGTGGGAATGGATTTGAACCGCCAAGCTTGTGGCTCGTGACCCTGCGACCTGCTGAGACTGGACTGTCATGTCACAGACAAGCACAGGACCCTCCACATCCCAAATCAACTCCAGGTCCTCGGGGCCATGCAGACGCATAGAGACTCTATCGGACAAGGTAGAAGTGCCCCTGTGGGGTTCTGAAATGATAACTCCTTTAGGGAGTAAAAAAAACTTCTCTTTCTCCTGGGGAGCGGCTGGTGGTTTCGAAGTGCTGACCTGGTGGTAGCAGCCCAGCATGTAACCAGGATGGCCCCAGGGGGCCTGGTTGCACATCTCAGTTCCAGGAAATGGAATGCTGCTGAGGCAGAGCCACAGGTGAGAGCCACAGGTGAGAGGGGTGTCTGTGGATGATGGAATTCCCTGGCTTCCACGTGCAATTCGATGTCCTTTCCCCCAAAGGAGGTGTGGGGAACCGTCCCCACAACCGAATGGATCCTAAGGGGCGGTTGTGTAATTGAAGAGTAAATAAAAGAAACATCCAACAAGACATGCAAGGGCTCACCTCTTCTATGGAATCTGCAACCAGAGAGCGAGTGAATGCATTCTCTCACAGGCTTATCCACTCCCCAGCCAGGCAAGCCATATCATACATGTACGTACGTAGCAGGCAGGGGTTTTATTAGAGGCATACAGGTCACAGGAAGAGGACACGCCAGGGGGATACATGTAACAGGAAGATACATATGTAACAAAGTGGGCAGGATCTAGCATTAAAGTAGTGGCTTAACCTTTGCTGTCTCTGAGCTGGCTTGCCCCTAGGTGTCCCTGAACTCTTCTCCGGGGGGGAACAATGTATGATCCTTCAGAAGGGAGAGGGCAGTATTTCGGGTGGGACAGACAATGGGGTCAGATTCTCTCTTGGCAGATAACCTCTGGGGCTAGGAGAGTTTTTACATTGTCATTATTATGTGGGGAATAACTTTTTGTTAGGAGAATAGGATCGGCATTCATCTCCAACTCACAAATGTGAAGGCCTTCCTCCACCAGTCTGCCTCCCAGACTCCTTCAACATGAGCATAGAGCATTTGTCCACATACACTCCCTTCTCGGTTCTCAGTTTCCCACAAGGGGGAAGGAAGTCTTGTTTCCTGCATATCCGGGTATTAAGCTGACACCAGTCAGAACTGTTCCCTATGGGTTGGGCACAACCAGTGGAGTGGTTCACGCCATTTCACAACCACTTTGCTGCCCTGATGCCTGTATTAAGTAATAGATATGTATCAAAAGGGAGTTTATAATTTCATACAGTTAATTCTTTTTTTTTTCAAGTTCCCAGTTAATTCTTAAATAAGAACAATAAGAGATGGACACAAAAGGTAGATGATGTTATAAGTAAGAGTTTAAAAAGATTAAAGAAAAAAAACCTGACAAAAAAAAACAATAAAATGTGTGTACGCTATTTCCATGTTGTTTCTTGCTTGTCTCTGAGCATCATCACTGGGTGGTTTATCCTAGGCCGTCTTTTCACTGTAGAAGGAGGATCCCATTCCTTTACAGGTTGGCCAATTAGACCATTGTCATTGTGTTCCTTAGATTAGAACAGGCGACTTCTCTGCCTCCATTATGTTCATCTTTGAAAGACCCCTTTCCACTTCTGCGGAACTGACAGCAATGGTTTTCAGCTGTTTGACCATTTTCAGGAATTGCACAAAGCAGTCTTCATTGTCTCGTGGGGATTTGGAGGTCAACCACAAGCTGAAACGAATGACAGCGGGTCACCCGTGGTCATTGGGCACTTTTCTCTTTACATTGCATGTTTGTTGACTGAATTAGCAAACACAAGGGACGAAAAATGTAGTATTTTAATCAAAATATGAGTTCTATGGGATGAGTAAGCATGGTTCCGTCTAATATTTTATACCTATGGATGGAATGAACATTATTACTGGTGTGTAGAACATGTCGTTGCACAGAGGAACGTTGACAAATCAACAGTAAGGTGTATAAGTTTGTGAGTTCCACACGGCGTGGCAGGGCAGGCGCCCACCATAGAGAGAACTCTGATTACAAGTGCCATTTCAACCCCCGGTTCACTGAACTCACCAAAAATTAGGTAGTGTTCCTGCTGAACCAATGCAAACCTCTTCAGTTCCACCACTGGGCACAACCATAGGGAAGGACTCTTATCATGGTCTGCATTGTACCCATCCCCAAATAAATGTGAAAACCCTAACCCCGTACCTGCCAATCCGTGGGAGAATGAGGCTCTCTACTCCGTGAAGAGCCACAGTCTCACAAACCCGCAGGGGCAGTTCTACCCTGTCCTGTGGGGTCGCTGTGAGTCGGAATCAAGTCCTTGGCAGTGGGGTGTTCTTGTTTTTGGATGGTGGGATCCCACAGGTCAATATGGCTCCGCCCTGGTGGGTGTCTTCATGGCTCTGTGTTGGGCTGGTACTGGCAACATCAGCAGTTGGAAGCCACCAGCAGGAGGAAGACAAGGCTTTCTACTCTGGTCAACTGTCACACTCCAGAATCTCACACGGGCGATTCTCCTCTGTCCCGTAGGGTCTCTATAAGTCTATAAGCCAGAATGACCTCAATGGCAGTAATAATTATTATCATTATTTTATTAAAAGATGATTTTATCAGAGGCTCTTACTCCTCTTATCACAATCCACACATCAATTGTATCAGGCAGATTTGTACATCTGTTGCCATCATTCTTTTCTACATATTTACTTTCTATTGAGCCTTGGATATCAGCTCCTCTCCACCCCCACCCCCACCTGCCCCGCATTAAGATGTTGAGATACCTTTTATTTATTTATTTATTTATTTATTTTAGAGGTGGACAATTGTGTTAGACCTGGTTGACTAGAGAAGCAAATCCAGAGACACTCCTATGTGTGTAATAGAGAGCTTTATATCATAGAGCAATTGCTTATTGAGAAAACGTCCCAGCCCAGTCCAGATCAAGTCCATAAGTCCAGTATTAGCCCGTATGTCTGAGTATGTCTGATATGAGCCCATAAATTCCTCTTTAGATTCACACAGCACATGCAATGATGCCAAATGCAGGAAGGTCACAGGTAGGTGGGTAGACCGTCCTGTGGATCCAATGGCACTGGAAACATCTCCAGGGCTCTGGCTCCATGTGGCTTGTCACCAGGAAGGCAAAGCAGAGAGACAGTGTGGCCCTCCTCCAGGGAGAAAGAGAGGAAGTTCCCAGAATCCTCCTGAAAAGGTCATGCCCAGCAGGAGGCATCAGCAGGCTGAGTCACCTGATTGACAGGCTAAAGTCCACCCCTTCACTCTATGTATCAAATTGACATGAAATTCTGTAACTACCACAGCAATACCTACAAAATAATGTGACCTCCATGGTTACACGTTGGGCTGCGAATCTCAAAGTCAGCAGTTCAAAACCACCAACCACTCCATGGTAGAAAGATGAGGCTTTCTCCTTCTAGAAGAGCCACAGTCTGGGATAACCCACAGGAAAATTCCGACCTGTGCTGTGGGGTCCCTGTGAGTCGGAATGGACTCTCGAGGGGAGCAGAGAGAAGGAAGGACTAACAGAGCTCCCTGCAGCAGCAAAGGCCGTGTGGCCGGTGCTCAGCTCATGTCAGCTTTCAAGCAACAATTCTATGACTGTTTTTTTACTGACAATAGCCATCACGGAACACAGGACGGTGGGTGTAACTCTTAGGCTGCACAAGAAGTCACAGAAAGCTATGAAACATAGTGAAAACATAAAAGGAATCCTGTTGTCATTTATTTTGATGTCCCTTTTCCGTATGACTGCCCTCGACCAATCTTACACAATGACCAGGAAAGTTAGGAGGATTAAGTAGTAGTTAATATTCCAAACTCTTGAAAAAAATTTTTTTGATTTATTGTAAAAATAGCACAAGATCAATCTTTTTTATTGAGTAGAATGATAAAATCTGTAGAAAATGTGAAGCTCTAATATTTCCATTCGTGTAGAGCTCAGCAATTGATGTCCCCAATTGTTTGTCCCTAGCAAGGTAGCAACAAGACAAAAACCTACGGAAATTTTCTGTGGTCATGGCCACGGCTCCTCTGAACACTGCATGCTCACAGCCTGGGTAATGACCACTTTTAAAACCGTGCTCTTTCATTCTCTTCTACACCGGGTCACTGTGCATCAGAACCAACCTGATGGCGCCCAGCAATAACAGCATGGTCAAAATACCTACTTTGTATCATTTCATTTCTCTTGCATTTAAGATTTGCTTGACGGCTCAGGATATAGTCTAATAGGATAAATGTTTTATGTGTGCTCAGGTACACTGTGGGTTCTCCTGTTAAAACGAACAGAAACAGTTTGATTGACATATAATTCACCTCATGTGGGATTCAGAAAAGTTATTCCCCAGGTTGTTCACCCGTATTCTATGCCAAACAAAGGGGCTGCTTGCTGACACATGGTCCATGGCCATGCACTTGGAGGTCACCTGCTTAAAGGTTATCTCCCTGAGGATTATCAGCCATCTAGCAGCGGTTCTCTACCTGTGGGTCAGGACCCCTATGGGGCGTCAAACGACCCTTTCACAGGAGTCACCTAAGACCATCTGAAAAGACATTTAGATTTGCATTAAGATTTACAATAGCGGAATTACAGTTTTGTAGTAGCAATGAAATAATTTTATGTGTGGGGGTCACCACAACATGAGGAACTGTATTAAAGGGTCATGTCATTAGGAAAGTTGAGAACCACTGTTCTAGAACAATCAGCCCCTGTAGTCTGTTCCACCCTAGGTGGGGCCCACACCCTTCTGATAAGGATAGAGGATTGTTCCCCTGAAGGAGAGCCCAAAGACAAGGTCAAGCCAGCTGAGAGAGGACCAAGGTCAAGCTGCCATCTTGTCTTTAGAGGCTGCCCCCCTTGCCACATGAATACCCCTAGTACTTCCCCTTCCTATTGCGAGTACACCCCCAGCTCACCCCCCTCCTATTACATGTAGGCCTGTGGTTCAATGCCTTCCTGTTATGATATAATTAGGGGGATGTGCCCATCCCCTAAGTGTATAAAAGCCATGATTGGAAATACGTTCGCTCTCTTTGCGCAGACCTGGCTCCTGAAGTCATGGTGGTGCCAGAGGTGAGCACTTGCAGGTTTTTATCTTGTCTGATGTCTCTTTATTTTACCCCTCAATTACACAACCGCCCCTTGGACCCATTCGGTTGTGGGGAGCTGGTCCCCCCCAGAGCTGCACTGTCAGAGACCCACAGAGGCAGTTCTACCCAGTCTTAGAGGGTCATCGCTGGGATTGGGCCTCACTCATTGCAGTGAGCTCTCTTTGGGGTGTGGCCCCTGGAGAAAGACAGGTATGCTCACCTGGTGTAGTAGGCCCAGGTAAGGCCATAGGTGAGGAGGAAGCCAGCCCCCATCAGGATCCCCCGGACTACGGTGCGGATCAGCGGCCC